TCCACCTAGCCTGCACATCTTTGGACTGTGGCAGGAAACCTGAGCACCCAGAGGAAACCCATGCAGTCAAGGGGAGAATGTGCAAACTCCACACAGTTGCCCGAGGGTGGAATCGAACCTAGATCCCTGGTGCTGTGAGGCAGCAGCGCTAACCACTGAGCCGCCCCAGAGACCTTGTAAACCTCTATAAAAGGTCACCCCTCAGTAAGGCGACTGACAGGTTACCTTATAGAGGTTTATAAAATCATAAGGGTCATAGATAGGGTAAATAGCCAAGGTATTTTTCCTAAGGTGGGGGGAGTCAAAAACTAGACAGCATAGGTATAAGGTGAGAAGGGCAAGATTTAAAAAAGGTCCTGAGGGCCGACTTTTTCAGCGAGTGGATGGTGCATGTATAGAACGAGCTGCCGGAGGAAGTGGTGGAGGTGGACACAATTACAATGACATCTGGATGGGTATATGAATAGGAAGGAAGGGTTTAAGAGGGATATGGGCCAAATGGTGGAAAACAGGATGAGGTCAAATTAGGATGTCTGGTCCACGCGAATGAGCTGAACCGAAGGATCTGTTTCTGTGCTGTATGACTCTGACTGGTATATCAAATGCAATTATGTTTTAAAATATCAACATCTATTTAACTGACAAATTCATAGTCTGACAAAGTTGCTCAACTGCTATAGCAACAGCCCAGTTTTTCCTATCAAACAGAAGACAAATTTTCTGCTATGTGGGAATGAAACAGCAATTCAAGACAACATCTTTAGTGCATAATGCAGCGATGCTCAAAATAATGAATTCAATCAATACAAGCATGTCAACTTTAAAAAAATTTGTTTATAACAAATCTCCGTGTTAGGTATTTAGCGTGAATAATTGATGTCTTAGCCAATTTCTTATCAGGCCGGCACCATTGTGAAATAAACACAAGAATAATTGCAGAATTCTAAGAGCACAGAAATTTAGGTGTTCTGACACGAGTCACAAACAGTGTGTGCAGGTAAAAGCACATGATGAAGACAGCTAGTGGGATACTGTCCTTTAATATGAAGAATGGAACATAAAGAATGTTTTTCTTTAGTTCTGCAGGACATTGGTGAAACCACATCTCACATATCGTGCGCAGTTTTGGTCTCCCTGTTTAAGGAAGGATTGCAAATCCATCAGAGATGGTTCAGAGGAGATTTGCTAGATTGTTACAGCCAGGTTTGGTTTGTTCCCACTGGCATTTAGAACAGTAAGGGGTGACTACATTGAAGATAGATCCTGAAATGGTCTTGATAAGGTGGATGTGGAAAGGATATTTCCTCGGTGTATCCAGAACTAGCGGTACTGTTGTCCTTTCAGGACAAAAAGATGTGAAGAATTTTTCTTCACTCCAATAGTAGTAAGAATTTGGATCTCTGCCTTAAAAGATGGTGGAAACAGAGTCACTGAATATTTTTAGGGCAGAGATGGATAGGGATTGTTAAGCAGGGGAAATCAAAAATTATCCAGTGTAGGGAGAATGTGGAAGTCAAAACACGAACAGATCAATGGTTATCTCATTGAACAGTGAAGTAGTCTCAACAGGACAAACAGTCTACTGGTGTTCCTATTTTATAGATTTTAAACAGCTAAATGGTACACTGATCTCTGACATTCACTAGCTTTTTTTTTCTGAAAATCAGAGAAACAGAAGGCAAGAAATTATTGGGTATTGCTGACTATTCTTTCATGTCAAAAAAAAAATCTGCAAACCTGTACAACGTTATAAACTATTCAATCTTTAAAGCTTCAGCATCAATTCTTCAATAAAAATTTGATAATACTGAACAGACTGTTTTATGACAATGACCAAATGGGTCAGGACTGTCAGTGTCATGCAAGTCAAGTGTTTCTCAGAATTATATAAACTAAATCAATATATTGTGAGCAAAAATGAAGCATTACTACACAGTGGTTTTGCTCTTAATGACTATGAGTAAAGTCCACCTTCATTCACGAGGAATCAACTCAAAATAATGGAGATTGAGCTTATTCACATTATTTTGCGATAGTGAGAATGCCTGGAATAAGTAGAGAGCTCACTGAGCAGTGGGGTTAAACTCACTCTCCATTAGCAAAACCTTCACTCACAGGAAAAACGAAAAGGAAACACAAGAAAATGAAAACAGAGAAAGATACAAGTATTTGACATGACAAATGCCAGTACCTACATCCATCGTGTGGATTCTTTCAAATTCCCCAAAGACCTGACTCACTTCTGCTGATTCTGTTGCTCAAATTTGAAGTTTACATTTTGATTTTCATGAAATATTTCTTTCCTTCAGTGATACAATCATTTTGCATGGCAGCTTTGTCAAGAAATTTTAACGTAAAAATGTTTTTAAAAGAAAATCTCCTGATGGCTTAGGAGGGGAGTCAGAGTTAGTATTAGATGTAAAAAAGGCATATAAATTGGCAAGAAAAACTGACCTGAAGATTGGGAAAAGTTTAGAAGTAATCAGCAAAGGAGGACCAAGAGATTGATTAGGATGCGGAAAAGAGTGTATGAGAGTAAGCTTGCAGGGAACGCAAGAACTATAAAAGCTTCTGTAAGTATGTAAAGAGAAAAAAAAATTGATGAAAACTAACGTAGGTCCCTTACAGTCAGAAGCAATGAAATTTATAAATGGGGAACAAAGAAATGGCTGACGAACTAAATTCATACTTTGCTTCTGCCTTCACAAAGGAGGACACAAACGACGTACCAGAAAAGAGGGGAACACAGGCTTCGAGAGGGAGGAACTGAAGCAATTGTACTAGAAGAGGAACGTGTTGGAGAAACTGACGGGATTGAAGGCTGATAAATCCCCAGTACCTAATAATCCGCATTCTGGAGTACTTACAGAAATGGCCCCGAGAAATAATGAATGCACTGGCGGGCATCTTCCAAGATTCTTTAGACTCGACCGGTTCCTACTGACTGAAGAGTAGTTAATGTAGCCCCACTACTTAAAACAGGGAGGTAGAGAGAGAAAAAATGAGGAATCATAGAATAGGGAGTCTGATGTCGGTACCGAGGAAGATGCTAGACTCCATTATCAAGGATTTTATAGCAGGGTACTTAGAAAACAGCTGTAGAATTAGGCACAGTCAGCATGAATTTATGAAAGGAAATCATGCTTGACAAATCTATTGGAATTCTTCAATGATATAACTGTATGGCTGATCAGAGGTAACCAATGGACGTGGTTTATTTGGATTTTCAGGAGGCTTTTGACAAAGTCCCACATAAGAGATTGGTGTGTAAAATTAAAGTGCATGGGATTGGGAGTAGTGTCTTGAGGGGGATAGAAAATTGGTTAGCAGACAGGAAGTGTAGCAATAAATATGTCCTTTTCTGAATGGCAAACAGCAACTAAAGGGGTTCGGTACTAGAACCCCAGCTATTCACAATATATTATGATTTAGATGACAGAACTAAATTAATGTCTCAAAATTTGCAGGTAAAATAAAGCTGGGTGGAAGAGTGAGCCATGAGGAGGATGTAGTGAGGTTGTCGTGTGATTTGGATAGCCTGAGTAGGCAAATGCATGACAGATTCAGTATAATGTGGATAAATTAGAGAGTTTGCACTTTGGTACTAAAAATAGAAAGGCAGATTATTATTTGGATGGCTGTAAATTGAGGGGAATGTGCACCAGTCACTGAAAGTAAGCACGCAGATGCAGTGGGCAGTGAAAAAAGCAAATTGTATGTTGGCCTTCATAGCAAAAGGATTCACGAACAGGAACAAGGATGTCTTACTGCAATTGTACAGGGTACTGGGGAGGCCAAAGCTGGAATATTGTGTACAGCTTTGGTCTCCTTGTCCGAGAAAGGACGTTCTTGCTCTACAGTGAGTGCAGCAAACATTTGCCAAATTGTTTATTGGGAATGGCAGTATCGACATAAGAAAAGAATAAGTCAGTAGGATTATATTCACTGGGGTTTTGAAGAATGAGGTGGGGGAAATCTCAGAAACCTATAAAATTTTAACAGACCAAAACAGGAAGGATGCTCTTAATGGTAAGAGAGAGTCCAGAACCAGAGATCATAATTTAGGGATAAGGGATAGGCCATTTAGGACTGAGATGATGGTAAATATTTTTTTCAACCAGAGTGTCGTGAGCCTATGGAATTCTCTGCCACAGAAAATGATTGAGGCCAAAATGTAGTGATTGCAATGACGTCAGCCAGGTGGACCTCATAGAATGAGTTCCTTGATTGAGGCTGTTAACCTGGTCCAATCAGAGAGCTCTGGCTGACAGATATAGATGGGAGTGTCAGAGGTTCTGTTCACTGAGAACTGGCTCTGAGGATGCCAGACCAGTGTTGAGTACTATGCAAGCGTAAATAAACGGTGACTTGGTGATGAGATACTGGCCTCTGAAATTATTTTACAAAACGTGGTGTTTTCAAGGAGGTAGATATAGCTCTAAATGGATCAAGGGATGTGGGCGGAAGGCAAGCTGAATGATCAGCCATGATCCTACTAAATGGTAAAGCAAGTTAGATGGGTCAAATGACCTATTCTTGCTCCTATGTTTCTATGAAATTGTGTTGGCAGTTGACCTAGTTCTGAGGCAAGTTGTAATTGTGTAGAGCGACAATATAAAACCATTATTTATGACTACAGAAATTTGTTCAGGAATAAAGTCTATTTTAACTAGTCTGATAACATAGTAAAGAAACTGTGATAGAGAAGTTAAAATACATTTGGATCAAGTGCCAGTTGTGGAAAAAGATCTAAGAAGAATAAGGTTTATTTACATTTTACAGCCTTAACCATGTAGTTTCATTTCACAATCACTACTACACTTGTAAAATTTAGACCACTATTGTAATGGCAATAGCTATTACTCTGCTGAGAATGCAACTGCTTTTTGTCATTTCCAAATATATAATGTGCGCATAAAAAATCCCTAGCTGGTGCTATGACTGCTCAAAATATTAAATTACTTGTCATTTACAAATATCATATCAAATTAAATTCTTACCATCTAAAAGGTCTCTAATCTTGTCCAAGTAAATTTCAAAATATGAAACCTGCAAGAAACAATTTAAAATTATTCGTTGATTTCACAGAAACTGAGGATGTCCAGAAAGTGCATTTAAATGGTGTTTGCATAAATTAATTTCAACAGTTCTTTTATTCCAGCAAATGGCAATTCAAATCTCACAGCGACCATTTTAGAATTTGAATTTTGTTCTTAAAAATAAAATCTGCAAATAAACTAAACCAGTAATATAGTGAGCGCCGCTGTCCAGGGAAAACAACTGGTTCACTATTGCTCTTCAGAGTAGAAACCTGGTCATTCCTATTTGGCCTGGCCAATAAGTGACTTAGCTATTCTCCAATCTCAAGCTACTGACGCGTATTGAAACATTACAGAAGTTTAAGAAAAACAAAGTCCAGAATTACCTTCTCAAGGATAACTAGGGATGGCCAAGAAATCCTAGCTTTGCCAGTGACACCCAAATCATGAGAACGCATGTTTGAAAACAACTAAATTTGCTTCATTGTTACTGTTACCTTGATGTGGAATTCCAAATTTTCATCCATGGAGTAAATGTAATTAAAAATATCTTGGGCTATCCTGGGGATTATTCCCATACAATCGGGATCATGGAGTGAACCCTGCAATTAGAAGTACATTTTGTTAAACCAAACTAATATTTTCAGAATGCAGCTACAGTTAACAGTTCAGTTGCTACTGGTACAGAGTTAGAGAATAAGCCGAGTTTTCTCAACTCGGTATTTCTAATGCTATGTAAATAAATCAGCAACATGCCCTGAATCTCACTCAAACATCACATGTGCATGCAAACTAAGACTTCAATACAACTCTAGAGTTAAAAGCCATATATTATAGGTGTAGCTCGAATATTTTTGTATCTTCATAAATTTTTTCAGAAGCCAAAAAGTCCCATGCTTGTACTAGTAATATTATTCATTTCTTTATTAAAAAAGTTTGCTCCTTTTACAAGGAATTTGGTCAAAACATAGCAGATATGGATCAGTGAGGCTATGGGGGTAATCTAACCTGTGAATACTCGGCACACATTCTATTGGGTGGACTCACAGGTGGGCAAGGAAAACACTTACCTCCATAGTGTGAGTTTTACCAGATGATGTCTGGCCATATGCAAATATTGTGCCATTATATCCATCAAGTACATCTGGAAAATGGTAAAAAAAATTCAACAATAGAAAATTTGTACAACTGATCTCAATGCCAATTTGTTTCAAGTACTTTAGCATGCAAGAATTGAGCAGACCATTTTGCTTGCAAGCACACAAACACCCAAACCCTGTGCTCCTCCAGCTCCACATACACACAGAGTTTTCTCTATGTTTTACCTCCTGGACTGGAGAACTGCATGTGAGACAATCTATTTTACTGAATTTGCCTTTGCCAAGGGTGCGTTTATGGCAAGTTACTATATTGGAACAGATTGTTTGGTAGTTAAATAATCTATTATGTCAAGTTTTCCAAGAGTTAAATTGTTCCAATTTCTTCTTTCTTTTGTTGTATTTTATCTATAGTGTACGAATAAAGTGTGTTTTGCTTCAAGATTGATAGTTTAACAAATTGAATTGCATCCAGAATGCAAAGCCTGGCATTTACCATTAAAATAAGGAAAAGTTAGGGTCTAGGCTATCTTATTAACATATTTTGAGGGTGTTTGGTCTGGTCCATAACAACTTTGATGTGCAACTCTATATAATCATGACAAACAACTGTTGAGCTACCTTATTGCAGACGATTGCATTAAAAGAGCACACATTTAACTTTAATTGTTAAATACAGATAAATATTTTGTACTCCAAGTACACTCAATATGCAATAACTCTCTCTCTAAAAAAACCAAACAAACAAACAAACAATCTCCTTAAATTTTTGGTTGCTCTACTGGCTTTATCTATTTTCATCCACATGGTTCTAAAAAGGAAGAGACTTTGGACATTTTCCCCATTTAGGCTTTATTCAAATGTACTTTGTTGAAAGTAACATACAAAATGGACTTGGATCAATGAAATGGTGTACTTTGAATTCCAAAACAGGTTTGACAAATTCTGCAAATTAGAGCTCAATCTTAGAACAATGTGGACTCAGCACAAAAACTAGAGACAAGAGATTAGCTGAAGAGCAGCACAAAAAAAAGGATTTGTACAGTGGGGGTGGGGGAGGGATGGGGCTTGATGAGTGCTGCAGCCCTGCTTCTAAATAATCTGGATTCAGGAGCTCAAAACAATTTTATGTTTGCTATTGATAGTAAACACATGATGAGCAATTTAATCTAAACAAACACATTTCATGGGGTGTATTTTTGTTCATAGCATGTGGGCATCACTGCTAGGCCAGCATTTATTGCCCATCCCTAGCTACCCTTAAGATGATGCACCGCTTAAACTGTATCCTGGTTGGTGTTGGCATACCCACAGTAATGTCAAGTAGCAATTTTCTGGATCTTGAAACAAAAGTTTTGAAGGGAGGACCATATATTCCATCATTAGGATCATGTAGGACTACAACAACATTCTCCTCCTTTCTCATCAGCCTTGGTCTTCTAGTAGAAGACAAGTTTGAGATACTGCTGAAGCAAATCTTGCCAAGTTGATATTATGCATCTTGTAGATGGTAAATAATAGCCAGCGTAAAGATAACGGACCACTTTGTTTAGACGGTAAATAGCTTGTGCCTAGTTAATGGCAGTGCTACTTTTGCAGCCACAAAATGTAGATGGTTGATTGTCTTTGACTTTAAGGTAGCATTTGACACAATCATTTTCACCTTGCTTCTGGAATTAAGATCTTTTGACACATTAAATCAGAGTTATAATGAGGACTACAGCCAATGATCCTATGAAATTCAAACAATGCATCCGATTATTGGTGAGTAAATGTCATCACAAACCTTTTCCATCACTTAACAAGATTAGGCTGATAGGAAATAATCGAATGGATTGGCCTGCCTTTAGAGACACAACATATCTGGGACTTGTTTGGCAGATGCTGGTGGTTTAGGTAAACAATTTGGTTAAAGGGCTGACTGCTTCTGGAGTACAAGTCCTTTGCACAACAGTCCAGATACTGCTGGAAACCATAGTCCAATTTCAGCTGTTTCTGTATATCGTGGAATGAAATGAATTTGCCGACAACTAGCATAGATTTGGGAGGGGGCCTGAACAGGAGGCCAAAACGGATCATCTGTTCTACATTTCTGGCTGAATATAGATGTAGCATCTTTCGTTTAGCACATAAGGAGCATTACTTTACCTTCAAAGGCCTATCATCTCATTTTTATAAGTACCTGTTCCACACATTTCATCGAGCCAAGGTTGATCTCCTGGCTCTACGGTAATGGTAGACCAAGGGGTATTTGAGACCATGAGAATATACAGAAAATGTTAGTGCAGGAGGAGGCCATTAATCCTGTTGTTTCTGCAAAGAATCTCCAAATGTGATCTCGTGCCATTCTGCCTTTTCTCCATACCCTTCCACATTATTAAAATAGAAACGATCATCTAATGCCCACTTGAATGCCTCAACTGACAGTGCACAACATGTCCAACGACTGCCTTCAAGATCTGAGATTACACAGCATAGTAGAATAGTGCTGTTGCTGATAGCTAGTAACATCCGGGAGATGCCCAGCTTTGAACTGCTAGATCTGTTCTGAATCTTACCCACTTAGCATGGTGGTAAAGCCACAAACTCAAATGAATGAGAATGCTTTTGCCCATAAGAACTACAGAGAAGTCATTCCTACCAATACTGCCAAGCATAGATTCACTTGCACGGAGAAGATTTATGAAGGCATCAATTTAACGTGTACTTGAGTTGTTGCTCTCCCTATCTGCTACAAGCCTACATCTGGTAGTATGTTCTATAGACCTCTACAAGCTCAAAATTAGTGGTGGTGCTATCAGGCCACTCTTGCTGATGCATAGTAAGGTCCCTAATCCAAAATATGTTTTATATCTTCAGTGTTCAATATGGAGAAGCACTGATGAATCAACTGATTAGAATAAAAAGGTGGTAATCAGCAGGATAAAGCCTCGCTCATGTTTACCGTGGTAAAGATCACGGGGGCCAGAATCAATACTAAGAACTCCCTGGGCCACTTTCTTTCATCTGTATGGTATGCCCTACCAGAGGATACGGCATACTGAGGCAGGATGACAGACCCCAGGACATGGTTAAAAAGGTGTGATTTGGAGTATGTAATAATATCAGGTTGTTGCTTGATTTGCTCGTGGGCAGCCCTCAACTTTATCACAAATCACCAAGCGTTAATCAGGAAGACTTCGATGCTATTGGAAAAAGCCATGGGACACAGAATGCCATTGCTTGTGGTTGTATGGCAGATGCTCCTACCTCTTGATTGGTCTCCTGGCCACAACGATGAGAACTGCCATGACATCCTGTAGTGGTTTCCAAATGCTCTTTTTAAATCTCACCCTTTAACCGTTCCCATTTTGACTTCCCTCGAGCCCTGCCTTAAGTTTCCAATGTTGCGCCCTTGAAGAGGCTTACACCTGCAGGATTTTAAAATCACTAAATACTGCAGGGACAAAGAAATGGCAAAATTCTTAAATAAGAAGATAGTGGGGAATCATGGCTAATGACTTTTACTGACCATCTAACCAGAGGGAGCAGTCCCAAGGTACAAAACTGTGGGGGGAGAAAAGGTGGACACACAACGCAACCAGAGACAAATATCACACCGGTCCTTTGTATCTTTTTCGTTAGTCAATGTAGATGCAAATTACTGTTTCCTCCACTTCCATACTTGTCACGCTTTGAAATATATTAAATAAAATGGCTTAAAAGAATGTCTTTTCAGCATTCAAGGAGTAAAAGAAAATGTTTTAGAAGTATTCTGAATCATGAATGCACCTGCTCTCAAAAAAAAAGCACTTTACTTTTTTTTTACAAAAACACATTGACTGATTTGGAGTACAGCAAAGTTAGCTGTGGTTTTCTACTATCTAATAATCCGTTCCATGTGTTTTTCCTGGAATGGGAACACATTGCTTCAAATATAGCTGCTATCATCATTGGAGCAAGTTTCCCAAAGTTTCAGTCTTAGCACCCTGCTCTATCTTTCAAAGTGTTGCACTTGCATATTACAGCTTTGGGAAATTTTAAGATTCCCAATTCAGCAAATTGAGAGATAAAATGATTTTAGCTTTAATTTCTCCATTTCTGAAGAAGCTCTCAAAAACAGCTAAAGCCCCACTGGCCAGGGAAGTTCCTCTACATATCAGGGACGGCCTTACCACCTTAATCTCTCCCTAAATCTCTGTGGCCCTCTAAATTTGCTCTTCCCCCTCTTCAAGATAAGCCTATAATCCTACCACTTAATTTGAGATGTAATCATGTGACTTGATGACATTTTATCTGTTAACACTTTTACTGAAGACATCCAGATGCTTCAACAAAAGTGCATGTGGTCTGTGCTACACGTTAAGATCCAAGACAGATTGTTGCTGAGAAAGCAGACATCATAGAATGGCAGGGCAGTCTTAAGACATTGGCTGATATATGCCAGGACACAATTTCTCTTTCATGCCAGCACTTCATAGCCCACAGCAGATGACTTCCTAGCCTTGCTGTACCTTATTTCTACCCAAACCAACTCCACATTATTGCGTATTGCACCTTAAATCACTACTCACCACTGCACTGATACCTTCCATTATTGACAAACTCTTCTGACTTTTGCCCGATTTTCAGGAACATCAAATACCCTGGAATACCAAGTTCCCAGTCCTGGCAACGCTGCAAAAACATCTCTAATATCTATCAAGTCATATTAGTTTATTTCTATTTTTGTAATCATTTGATCTATCTTGATACAAATGCTTAAGTATTGGTGTCAGGATCCTTGCATTGGAGATTAAAGGCTGTCACAAATCCTCATCCTGATTACTAACCCTTGAAGGAACGGGAGTGTGCTGGGTTGGGTCATAGGATATATGTGTCCATGCAAAGGGTCATGCAATCCTCGTGGAATGTGATTTTTTTTTGTTTTAAAAAGTTTCTCCATGTTCTTCCTACCAAAAGGAATCACTTCCCACTTTTCCGCACTGAACTTCACTTGCCACCTGTTCACATATTCCACCAACTTGTCAATGTCCTTTTCAAGTTCTACACAAATCATCTTCAGTTCACAAATGCTTCCACGTCTTGTACGCTCCACAAACTTTGAAACTGTAAACAGGTTCTGCCAGCCCAAAATACATCAACCACTATTGTTTTCTCTCACTGAGCCAATTCTGTATTCATGCTGCTATGGTTCCTTCTATTCCATTAGTCCTCAAATCAACTGTCAACAATTAATTAACATTTGCAAAAAAAAGTCATGATTCTTATATAAAATCTCTTCATTTTTAAAGGGTTTTGTCAGTTGATCCGAGATTGGGGGCTGGCATCACCAACAGGCTCTCAAGAATAAATACTCGGACAAGGTCTGTAGATTGCGAGTTGCTTCTTACCTAGATTTTCTGCATACAGAAGTAAAGATTCATATATGAAATCTCTGTGGTTAGCCAAGTCAAATAATTGCAATGTAAATTCGTAAACCAAGCAACTGCCTTTCATCACCGCGTCTTACCTTTGACGATATTTTTTGCACAGGCATTGTACACTTGTTCTTGTGTTGCATTCGAGGGGAAGACATAGTCATACACATAAGACTTGCCCTGAAAAACATTGAAACAAAAAAAAAATTGAAAGATACTTTGCACTGAACTTTGAAATAATTTATGCTTACTCAACACATTTAATTAAAACTAACATGATTTTAAGTACTCAATTATGTGTGAAAATAAAACAGTCATCTGCTTCAATCATAAGTTTGCTGCCAAAACACACACTAAAGTCCACAAAACTAGAAACTAAACTTAGAAACAAGGTCACTTTGAAGATAGAGGTTGATGGCTTCCAAATATTAACATATCAAGTCTAAATGTTTTAAAACAAAAAGGCAAGAAGTGAAGGAGAGTGTTAGGTGCGCTACTACCAGAATATACCACTCCCACTGAACAAAAACAAACTGAATGAAGTAAGACTACCAAACAAGGCCCTATACACAACAAATTAATGTAGTACTGAATGGCTAGTCTGTCTAACAGACTATACTATTCTCTTCCTCCTCTGCAAAAAAAATACAATGGGAAAATACGTATGGATTGAACAACATAGGCTGCCAACACAGAACAAGACATTTGTTTTGAAGTCTGTCAAATGGCCTGCATTGTGCTTTCTTGACATTTCTAAACTCACATGAAAAGGGGCAAGACACATTTACATAACCTCAAATTTCCCCTTTTTCATGGCAAAGGGTTAAAATCTTCATTTATGCTTGCATAAATCCATTGGCTCACAAGGCTTTGAGACCAAAGTTATCCTAATATTTAAAATAACTTAAAAGGACAATGTCTAGATGTTATATGTACAATTGAGACAGTCACACAAGTTATAGCAGCCATTCATGGTTGAATTATTAGGTGGTCTATGTTAATGCAATTTCTCCACACTTTTCCCGTCATTTTAAGTTGATCTCTTAAAAGTGAATTACATATTATAATCTCTACTTAATGAACATTGATTGTGAAATCCTTTACATTCACATGGAATAAGTTTCTTCTGATTGCGTCTTCCAGTGATCCAAAATCCACTTCTCGTTATTGCTGTGCTAACAAGAAGTATGTTCCATTCACATGGAGCTTGAACCAAAACTACTTTTGACCATTTGCAGAAGAGATGAGTTATGCAGTACATTGAAACTGTGGTTGATACAAGTTGTTATTTTTAAAACACTGTTGCACCAAAAACCACGTGTACAGTCACTGCTGCCTAGTCCACCCTATAGCAAATGTAGATCTGTTGAATAAGTTCTGTACAGTCCTAAGGCAGTGTTTGTACACATTCGTACATTAAAAATAAAATTGTAAACACAAATATACAGGTTAATCAGCACCCAATAAGACACGAGATTACACCTTTTAACTTTAAGGAAACAAAGAACTGCAGATTCTGGAGATCTGAAAACAAAAAAAAATATTGCTGGAGGAACTCAGAAGGTCTATCAGCATCTGTGCAGAGAGAAGAGAGTTAATGTTTTGAGTCCAGTTACCCTTTTTCAGAATTGATAGCAATTGGGAAAAGGTGATATTTATGCTGGTTATAGGGGTGCAGCAGTGTGGAGGGGGGAGCAAGCAATTAGGTGGAGGTGCAGACAGATCCCAGAGAATTGGAAAGAGCATTGGGGGGGGACGGCAAGCAAAGGAAGAGGGCAACAAAGGAGGCTCATTCATATACACACCACCCTGTGTGTGATAAAGTTGCTCCTTAGGTCCCTTTTAAATCTTTCCCCTCTCACCTTAAACCTATCCCCTCCGGTTTAAGACTGTCCTATTCCCAGGAAAAGACCTGACTATTCACCCTATCTGTGGCCTTCATGATTTTATAAAATACTGTAAGGTCATCCCACAGCCTCTGACACTCCAGGGAAAATAGCTCCAGCCTATTCAGCCTCCCCCTATAGCTCCAACCCTGGCAATACCTTGTAAATCTCTTCCGCTCTCTTTCAAGTTTCACAACATCTTATAGCAGGGAGACAAGAACTGAGTACAGTATTCCAAAAAGTGGCCTAATCAATGTCCTGTACAGCTGCAACATGACCCCCCAACTCCTATACTCAACGCACTGATCAATAAAGGCAAGCATACCAAATGCCTTCTTCACTATCCTGTTTAACTGCAACTCCGCTTTCAAGGAACAATGAACCTGCACTCAGAGGTCTCTTTGTTTGGCAAAACCCCCTCGGACCTTGCCATGAAGTGTGTAAATTCTGCCTTGATAATTTGCCCCACCAAAATGCAGCAACTCACATTTATCTAAATTAAACTCCATCTGCCACTCCTCCGCTCATTTGGTTATAATTTTTCAATCAGATGGACGATGTGTCTACTATCTCTGTAGCTATTTCTTTTAGGATCCTCAGATGCAAACCATCAGGCTGGGAACTTATCTGCCTTTAGCCCAATTAGTTTGTTTAATTCTACTTCTCCAATGATGGCAGTGGTATTTATTCTTCCCACATTCTTTATTATTAACAGGATGTTCTGAGTATCTTCCACTGTAAAGACTGATGCAAAACCTCTGCCATCTCCTTGGTCCCAATAACTATCTCACCAGTTTTATTTAAGAAACCTATGGTTACTCTTTACTTTTATATAATTAAAGGTGATAAGGTTTTGATTTGTTCGCGAGCTGGTAGGTTGGTTTGCAGATGTTTCGTCACCATACTAGGTAACATCATCAGTGCGCCTCCAATGAAGCACTGTTGGTCTGTCCAGCTTGTTGTTTGAGAGATCCGATCTGATGTAGTGGTTGGCCTCATTTCCGGTTCTGCTTCGTAGTGGATGGTAAACAGGATCTATTTCCACATGTTTGCTGATGGAGTTCCAGGTAGAGTACCAGGCCTCTAAGGAATCCCATGCATGTCTTTGATTGACTTGTCCTAGGATGGTTACGTTGTCCCAGTCAAATTGATGGCCGTCTTTGTCAGAGGGTATGGAAACGAGTGATGGTTGGTCACGTCCCTTGGTAGCTAGTTGGTGCTCATGTACCCTGATAGCTAGTTTTCTCCCAGTCTGTCCAATGTAGTGTTTGTGGCAGCCCTTACATAGGATTTTATACATAATATTCATCCTGTTAGCAGTGGGTATGGGATCCATTGATCTTATCAATAGTTGTCGTAGTGTATCTGTGGGTTTGTGTGCTACCACAATTCCTAGTGGTCAGAGTAGTCTGGTGGTCATCTGACAACGTTCTTGATGCATAGCTGGGTGACTAGTGCGTCCGGGCGTTCTGCGTCTTCCTGTTGCATACGTAAGGGCAGTCTACGCTTTTAGGGTAGCCTTTTTTTTTTAAAAAGGCACTTTGGAGATGTTCTTCTTCAGCTTTGCGCAGTTCCAGGTTGCTGCAGCATGTTACGGTTCTTTTGAACAGAGTTCTGATGCAGCTCTGTTTGTGGATGTTGGGGTGGTTGCTGTTATAGTTAAGTATTTGGTCCGTATGGGTAGCCTTTCTGTATATACTGGTCTGGAGCTCACCGTTGAGCTTACATTCAACCATTACGTCCAGGAATAGGAGTCGGTTGTTGTTCTCCTCTTCCCTGGTGAATTTTATGCCGGTGAGGATGATGATGATGATGATTTGGTGGGTTTCCTCCAGTTTAATTTAGAGATGTTCTTATTACTAGTTTGCCCTGCTCGTGAGTTTGCCCTTGTAGCATATTTTCTCTGTCTTCATTACCTTTTTAGTCCTCCCTGTTAAGATTCTGAATTTGTCCCAGTCTTCAGGGCTATCACAGACTTTTGCCCCTCTATATATGTTTTTTCTTTCAACCTAATACTTTCCTTAACTTCCTGAGTTAAGAGTCTTTATGCCATTTTTCATCATCCTAACTTTTCTTTGGACTGAGGTAGTAAGAACTGCCGATGCTGGAGTCAGAGATAACACAGTGTGGAGCTGGAAGAACACGGCAGGCCAGGCACCACCAGAGGAGTGGGAAAGTTGACGTTTCAGGTTGGGACCCTTCTTCGGAAGTGGGGAAGGGAGCTGGAAAATAAAGAGAGAGGAGGGGTGGGGCTGAGGAAGGTAGGTGGGATGGTGATAGGTGAGTGCAGGTAGGGAGTGGTGGGGATTGGTCAGTGAGGTGGCAGGAGCGGATAGGTGGGAGAGAAGATGGACAGGTTGTGTCAGGTCAAGGAGGCAGGGATGAGAGGGAGGGTTGGTCATGGGGTGAGGAGATTTTAACACTAGTAAAATCCACATTTAGGCCATTGGGCTGTAAGGTCCAAAGACGGAATATGAGATGTCGTTCCTCCAGTTTGCAGGTGGCGTCATTGTGACATTGGAAGTGGCCCAGGATGGACATGTCACCCAGGGAGTGGGACGGGTTGTTGAAATGGGTCGCAACAGGAAGATGTTGTCATTTGTCGCGAAGAGCACAGGGGCTCTACAAAGCAGACTCCGAGTCTCCGCTTGATCTCACCGACGTAGGGAAGGCCACATCGGGAGCAGCGGATGCAGTAGACTATTATTGACGGTTGTGCAGGTGAACCTCTGTCTGATGTGAAAGGTTTGTTTGGTTCCTTGAATGGGGTGGCGGCTGGGGGAGAAAGAGAGAGGGAGGAGGTGTAACATTTCCAGCTGTTGCAGGGAAAGGTGCCGGGGTAGCGGTGTTATTTGCCCCTCGCCCTTTATTACCTTGTCTGCTGTTTTAGCAAATATTTCCACAATTATTGAGGAGCCAATATAAGCAAGCGTCTAGGCTACTTTTCCACTCTTTTTCAACACTGTTTTCTGTGTTTTGCTAACAGAGACTGGACAATTAAGTAATGACCAGAAACGGAAGTGTATAAAACAGCATACAGAGCTCATCAAGGTACCTCCATGTCCAGAAATTATATAATGTTCCATAGATGCAGCTAAACAAATCTCAAAACAGAGGCCACTTAAAGATATAACAGTGAATCCTATGGATGAATACAAAAAAAAATCTGGTGAGTGATTGTGAAGTGCAAGGATATCAATATTACTTCATTAGTACAGCATCAATTATCTGACCAGAAGAATAGTTTTGCATAGACCAATGAAATAAAGGTCTGTCAACAAAGGGAAATGCACA